GGTCATTTGCCCTAAATCTGTTTCAATCTTTAGTAAGACTGAAATGACTAAACCTGAAATTTTCATCACTGCACTACTGCTATTTACACGGCCCCTTATTGAAGCGTATCTGTTTCTCTTCCAGTTATTGTATTTATTTTCTGTCCCTGTCAATGTGATCACGTGACACTGAGCTCAAGACAGTGAGTAGTAAGAAAAAGTAGGGATGTTTTGTTAAAATTTAACCGTGGAAATTTCTTTAAAATTTAAGCGAGTATCACTATATACACCTTTGCTGTCAGCCTATTTCTATCAAAAAAAGTTGTATACTTTAATATTAGAGAATTTCTTTCTCAACAAATATTCTCAACGAATATCACTGCATTCGGTAGCATTATTTATAATATAAAAATGTCTTCAAATAATCATCGTTTAATTGAGTGAACTATAGTAATTCGATTTGGTTGAGGGTCACCGGTGATCACCATGGCATTCAACGTGTTAATATTGAATCTTCAATTTTATTTTATTTAACTTTAAAATGTAATATTAAATTTTTAATTTTATAATTTTGTTGGATCAAATCAAATGGCGATTGAAAGGCGCCTCTCGAGTACCAAAGGGTTAAGGTTCAAAAGTCGTCTGTTTCGTACCAGACTGCCATACAATTCGGAGCATCTGATGTCAATCCCTGAAGATCACGACGCAACAAACCTAGTAATTCGCGATGTACACGAACGCAATTTTCAAACCGGTATCTACTGAAGCAATATTGAATATACATTGAGATAAACATTGAGTGCCGAATAGTAAGAGTGCGATCCGTTATTTAACTCTTTGAATGCCAATGTCGCTGTGAGCGATGCTAAAAATTTGTCAAAAAAGTGCCAGCGTCGCTTTCAGCGACTCTTTATTTTTGATAGCGATAAATACAATAGAAAATATGAAAAATTGCATTGATGATTACATTTATAACTATCAAAAATAAAGAGTCGCTGAGAGCGACGCCGGCACTTTTTGGACAAATTTTCAGCGTCGCTCACAGCGACGTTGGCAATCTAAGAGTTAATATGCATCGTCTGCTATCGAGCAAAACCAAAGGAAGCAAGTTACCGTATGAGCGACCTTACCGAGAATTGCCTCACGTACTTACCATCAATTACTGGGAACCTGGCATTCGTGACGTCATAAGGGCAGAAACAGTCACTCCGAGAAATCCTATTGCGAGTCCGGAAACGGCTCTTCGCGCTCTTTGCTGCGCAACTCGATTAGTGTGCGTGAGCGTCAACCAATCATATACCAAAACCGAAAATCCCTGAGTGCAAAGCGTGCACTTTCGAATCTGACCATTCAGACGAGAGTGCCAGGTCACCAGAAACTGACGGTAGACGAGACCGTGTTTGTAATCGAGCGGTAGACTTTTACGGTCCAATTTTAATTAACACCGTAATTGCGATACTGATCCCTAGGGACTGTCAAATCAAAATTTTAAATAAGCTTAAGCGGAAAATTCGCTAAAATTAACTCCGCAGTGGACGTGTTAAAGAAAAAACACATCGTTACCGGGGAAAGGTCAAGGTCTGCTTCGTAATATTCGTCTGTTTCGGCATGTGAGCAATGCATCTCGAAATAGTAGACGACTTAACCAGTTAACTGTGGAATTTAATTTGAAAAATCTATCATTGCGCGTAATCAAATCAAATAATAAAGTTTATACTCGCCAAATCGTAGAACAAACGCATCTGTAATATATTCTTACGAAAAACTATAGCGAAACAAAGACGAATTACACGTTTATCTGAAAAAATAAATAATTTATCGTCGAAGACAGTTTTAAGTGATTAAATACCGACGCTTGCTTTGCCACGCTCTGGACACGCTTCTTCGCGAGACGGAGTAAATGCTCAGATGTGTATATACATATGTTACGATTCACATAATAAATTCGGTTGGTAATAATAATAATACATATACCGGTGACTATTAATAATTATCAGTAAAGCAATAAATTTAATAGAAATATATTTTATAATATTTATTACTTTATTATTGATTATTAAATTTTCCGACCCATATTTATTTATTTTTAATTAATTTATCCTCCAGAGTTGCGGTCCATTTTAATTGTTCTTTGATAAATATTTACGGTTACGGATGTGGTATTTGTCCGCTCTTAGCATGCCTCGAACTGAACGTATTAAAAATTATTAAACTTACCGTTGATGGTTATGAATTATTAACAACCATCAGTTCCTGTGATAAATCCTTATAAATTACTCACTTCAACCTTTTTATTGGGTTATTATTAGTAATAGCCGGTTAATATTAATAGAAACCGATTAATAACTTAAACCGTAACACATATACTCTGTCAATGCGACGAATTTCATAAACGCTAAATACGAAACACGAGAGTTACACGCGCGCGCTTGTAAAATCAACCGAACAGAACAAAACAGTAGCGGAAAATTGGTAGACAATTCCACGCTGACCACAGCTCGGTAAGATTTGGGAAGCCGCTGTCAAGGCAGTAAAATACTATATCACGCGAGTCATCGGGGATAATCTATTGTCCTACGAATGCCTTTCAACGTACGTAGCGAAGATTGAAACCATTCTTTCCCGACCCGTATGTCCTTTCTTCTCCGATGCCAACGGTGTGACCGCCCTAATCCCCCGAGCACTTCCTCATCGACGATAGAACAACGAGCGTACTTGACCGCAACTTTACGACATTGCCACCGGAGCGACTTTCGCCCTGGCAACACATGCAACAATTAAAACAACATTTTTGGGAGCGATGGTTCAACAAGTGTCTACACAACCTTATCGCCAGGAAATAATGGTATACTGGCCAAACAACAACATTAGTCATCGGAAGCATGGTCATCGTCGAGGACAACAGCCCTCCGATGCACTGGCTTTTGGAGAAAGTAATTGCGATCGACCCTGGCAAGGGCGGAATGATCCGTGTTACGACAGTAAAAACTTCCGTAGGCGAATATACGAGTTATCTTAATCACTTAATTTTTTATAAACATTTGTAGCTAATTTTTTGGGGTGAAAACAAGTTCTTGCACTTCAAATGTTTGACATTTTCATAATAATTAAAATTTCGAAGAATCCGTACGTTACATTTTATATAATATATTTCTGTTTATAAATCCACGAAAATGCTTGTCTTCGTATGTTTCTGTTATTTGCAATCGAGTCGGTCAGCAATGGATGTTTTACGGAAAGGGGTTCCAAAGCTAGGAAATAACTGCGACGTTTTGTAACATTTTGGCTAAGAAATAATATAAATATAAAGAGGAAGATTATAATACTACGCCCAGAGGAAATCAGAAATTTTCACTTAATAGTTATGAACAAAAAATTCGTAAAATTTACCTGCCTTTAGGACGTCTCTAGGTGGTGTGCTCCCTTAACGTTATCCGTATGAGTTATTGATATAACTGTTTTCAGCTTGCACGGGCGTATTTAACCCCTTAACTGCTGAATTTGTTGGTAAACTGTGTTATTCGAGAGCATTAAATCAAGTATCAGCCTTATTCCCATTTGCTTATGAACATAAAATTGTTGCCATTCGATTCCTAGAAAGAGAAGGTTTTCGTTGATGTTGGAAAACCAAACTGTACTCCAGAATTTAAAAACACTAACACGTTGACTGTCATGAAAACCTTCAAAGTTTTGTGTATCGCTTATTCTTTTGTAGCAAAGATAAAGAACATCGGTTACTTATTATTTGGTATTGAAATGCTTACGTCAGACTATCATCCAGTTATTTACGCTATTAAACATTCTTATTCGACATTAATTATCTGACAAATTAACATTGTTTTCAAGTAATTTGGAAGCTCTGGTTATCGATGACCACCGTTTAATATTGGTCTTCGTGAATTCGTCGTGCCCATACACCTATGTCGCGGGCACAACGATTAAAAAGTTAATAATATTAGAAATGTATGTGTAGTCAATGCTTGCAGCCGGTATCAACAGAATAGTGAATGAATGAACGAAGATGAGAAGAAAGATTGATTTTGTCGAAATGTTGATAGGCTGATTTGCGCTGTTTTGCGCTGTTTTGGAGTTCATGGTTTCAGTTGCACGATGAATACTGACGTCGAATTAAAATATTTATTAGTGACATAATTAACTAAATAATAGTATAACCTCTCCATTAGTTTACACGCTTGGAGACTCGTCTTTTTATTTCTTATAAAGAAAACGTCAAAACTTTTGCATCAACCCAATACATATTGTATGTAGTAGAATTTAAAATAATAAACTCTTATTACTAAGAGCACTACCAGTGCGCATGGCGCTAAGCAATTGTTTGGAAGATGTTTTTCCAAATTCATGTGAACATGCCATACATGATTGTAATGCTGTAACGAATTGAATATCATAAGATTTGTTCAAGTATTAAACAATACATTGTGAGAATTATTATTCTGAATAATCGACTGTTTAAAAAAAACGTATACCCAATTGAAGAATTGATTGAATAAATTAAATTGCAATTACTCTTTAGCAATTCGACTTTCATTATCGTATTATACTTATTCAGCAGATTTTACACGTTACTTCCACGTGCAAATATGTAAATCTCCATAAAAAAATCACCAACAAAGCCCAACGTAACCGTTTTCTTGCATTTAGCTTAATGAACTTAACGAATTAAATAATTTTCTCTCAATTTGAATATCTAAAATGTCATACTTACTATTGTACTTTGTTTAGGCAGTATTAATAAAACTTAAATGTAGTAAAAAACAATTCGTTAATCATTAATAATGATTGATTAGGCAGAAATCGCTTTTTTAGATTACATTTTTATGAAATTCAGTAAATGCAGTGTATAACAAACTAAATGTTATATGTGTAAGTCATGCATTGAAATCAAGCGTCAATAAAATATTTTCTTGTCGTGTTCTTTATAATTTCTGGATTTTTAAACAATAAAACATTATAACAGTTCAAAATATAAATATATCTAATAGACTGTTAACCTTTCTCAGATCTGCAGTTGGCGGCAGAACTTGGCAAGACACTGTTGGAACGGAATAAAGAATTAGAGAACATCATTAAGCTACACCAGTCAACCGTTGAAGAACAAGCACAAGAAATAGAGGTAATTACACAACACCCATATCTTTACATATTTCTATTAATTATAGTGTCCCTTTCTTAATTACTAATTAGTTATTTAATTTATTACTTATTTCGTCACCAATTAACTTATTTCTTGTTTAATTATTAATGAATTATTCCTTGTTATTGACATGTGAACTTTTTTCAGTACATGAAAAAACAAACTGCTGCATTAAGGGAAGTAAATGATTCACGACTGAAAATCTACGAACAACTAGAAGTGAGCATCCAGGATTTGGAACGGGCCAATCATCGCCTTGTTATAGAGAACACAAGCGATAAGAAACTAATTAAAAGGTATGAAAACATCAGTAGCACTGTAACAGTACTTTAATGTTCTCTTTACTAAATTAAATAGATAATTCTATTAACTTGTTAAAGAAATTTAATAATGATGATGATCATTTTAAATAGATTCTTTCATACACTTAATATTTCTGTTTTTCCTGTCTTCGTTTCAACTTTTCATTCTAAGGCACAGTCTTTCATGCCAAACAGAAGAATTTCATTGTTAATGTTAACCAAGTAAGGAAAAGATTCATTTTGTTATGTAAAATAAGGTAACGTGGAAGAAATCACTCAATTAAAACAAAGTTATTATTATACTACTTACTATTATTTGATCAAAAAATATATTATTTTGTTACAATATAAAATAATTTATCATTTCAAGTATTCAATTTTCATATTGCATTTTAAATAATCTGATTGAAAATATACATACGAAGAACAGATGGCAAGCTTACAATGAAACATGATAGGCAATAAATTAATTTAAATATTTGTTAATTATTGTGGATGTCTAAATTAAATAAAAAGAAACGAAGCACTCTCATTATAATTTTTCAGTTTATAATCGAATGGGCCAAAATACGCTTTCTATAGATCTAATCCATTTCACAAGTTAATATGTATTATGTTTTGGAATACTTGAAATAACTTATTTAATATAACAATGATGTACATACAATCATTATTTAAATTGTATTTCCAGAAAATAGAATATAGTCGAGAATTAATAAAAAAAATTGGAAAACTACCTTTTATATTTGCATAAAATTCGATGTTATATGGAGTCTTCGTATAGTTACTCACAAAAGCGTTCACCCATGCATATGCCTTACATATGTGATATATTTTCTAAATATTTACTATATCAAATTCGATAATACCCTCTTTTTTAATAATCCTTTTTTAACGAACACATGATTTCTTAATTGACGAATAAATCCCAGAAGTATGTCAGTTAAGGTTCATGACAATACGAATTATGCCTGACGAGTCATCGATGATGACTACAACTTCATTATTCTATAGTTACTATAATGTAATAACAAACATCTTCCGTGATTCTTTTAACAGTCAATGCTTAACAATCGAAACTCTGGAAGCCCGATGCGAGGAACTACAAAAGAAAATCGACGAGATGAACGAGCAACATGAAAGTCTGCTCCGTCAGAAGAACTCAAGTCCATCGACGAACTCAGCGCAAACACAGACTGCTCTGTGGAAAGCATCGGTCACGCCGGGTAGCAGCATACAACAGGTACCTATTAATATTCATCAAATTCATTTTGCACGATCTCAGATAAATCGTATGATTCTCATTTCGTCTGTTTACCAATGAACTTCGATCGTTGAATCTCGGTTTCATCGTGAAAAAGTAATTGAAATTTCGCTACAGAGTTTCTATTTTCTATACAGTCTGATAACTTCCTAGGAATTTCCTCTCGTTTCGTGCGAAAAGTATCCTGTCATATTAATTCGCTAGAAATGTTTCAGTTTTTAATCTCTCGTAGAATACTGTTTCACTAACAGCAATACAACATCACTATATATTGCCAATAAATGATAACGATTCAATTATAGTTCCAAATTTTTGTTATACTCTTTTGATAAGAAAATACAAATATATTCATTATAGCTTCAAAGATTCAACATGTTTTCTAAAAATGATTAATCTCTTTTGAGATCACTTTAATCATCGTAATAACCTATAGGATAGATTTATTAGATATTTTTCACATTCAGAATTCACGCTTTATACTTAATCTATTATTTAAAGAGGTTTCTCTTAGTTAGTTTGTATGTTTATATTTAGAGAGTGTGTCAAATTATAGATCACATTCAACTTTTTCCCTCCAATGTAAGAGGAGCGAATTATATATAAATATTTCATTTTTAACATTATACTATTATAGTATAACAAAATTTAATTAAATTAAAATGGTGTAATTCAAAATGTATTAACTGAACGGACTGAAAACTGAAAACGATTGTACACGGTCACGTATTACAAAAGTAATATTTATTGTGTATATGATATACTCACTTATCTTCATATGTTAACAAAATTGAATAGAAATCCTAATTTCTAAAATTTGCGACTCGATTAATCTAGGTTCTACTATAATTTATTAATTAATACGCTCTACTTCATGATTAAAGCACATAACTTGTAGAGTATGCCTTGAAACGAACCCTAAGCCTAAAAATTATTTTCAACATTTATTTCCGTGCGAATATATTACATTAACCATTTACATTCGAAATACTTTTAAATATTCAACTCAATAATACCGCGGTATTTTAAATGTTTTATCTAAAATGTAAGCAGATATTTACTTCCAAAGACAGTTGCTTGATTGGAAGCAATGTAAACAATTCTTTTTAATAATAATATTGAACATGATGTAATACAAATGAAAAATGTTGAGTGTAACACAACATAGGAATACCTATGAGTTTCCTTAATCAGTAAAATTGCACATTCGACAGAGGAGGGCAAATCGTAATTGCATTCGTTATGGACTAAACCACTTCAGTTTGATACCATCTAATGAGTACCCTTACTTTTAGTTCACATAAGCATTCGTGGTTAAGAAATCAAACGGTTCACATATTAAATACTTTAAAACGATTCGCATCATTAACATTCGCACGGCCGTCGTGAAAATAATTACACGAACAGTTGGTATTATATCTTGTTAGGCTTCGAAGATATTTTAATTGTAATTCTAACGTAATCATGCTTATATTATGCATGTAGTAATCTTAAGTACTTGTACTTCACTTACTTCTTGAAGAATACAATTATTCTAAGTTTTTATGAAATAGCTTTTATGACCATTAAAGTTTATTTTAGAACTAAGCTTTCAAACAAAAACAGAAAGTTGAAGAAGGAAATAAATGAAAAGAAACTGATTCTCCTGGATCTAAGATACATTGATAGTTTTTCGAGTGTTGATGCCATCTGTACGCTAAAATATTCAATAATATTCAACGTAAACAATGTTAAAATATTTGGTTTCTATTAAATTTTATATGAAGCGTTTGTTACAATTGTGTTCGCAAAAATCAGTTATGAAAGCTAGTTTCAAAAATTTTGTTCGGGAAATAAAACTTAGTTTCAAAATAATTTTATTTTCAATAAATTTAGAAAGTTTCTATATAGCCTCAAAAGTTTTAGCTATAAATTATATTTGATTCAGTTAACAATGTCCGTGTTCTTTTTGGATCTAGGAGTACCTTCCATAGCTATGATACATTTCGGTTTAAATCTTTTACCTAGCAAAATTTTATTTTGAAAATGGCTATCAAAGAAAAGTATTTGTGTATTGTATTCCCAAAAGTTAGTTAAAGAAAAGGAAATTTCATTTCAATTATTCAATCGACGTAAGCTATGACTATTACTTGCTATAATTATGAAAATTGAGATCGAAAATCTGAATGATATTAAATGTAACATTCAAATGTGTATTATAAATTGTTTTGTTTCATTCATCACAAGTGAGAAACTAATTTTCTTATTTTTTAATTGACGAAATAGAAAAATAAATTACTGATACAACATTGAACAGCCTATCGATCAAGTTATACTTTATACAAATTAATATTCAACGTATATTTATATAATATAATACATACATTACACAACAACATATGTGTTATTTACTATTTTATATTATTACATCAATTTTTTTGTACAAATTTATTTACTTAAATTTACAACGAGACCATTGCTATTTATGAAAAGCCTTCGAACATGAGTGTAGGGCACAAGATGTTGCTTTATCTTAGCTTTTCAATACCCCTTTTTAACACATTCGCAACCAGCAAATTTTTCGCTTTTCTAGTAGTCATTACCGGTGAAAATAAAGAAAATCTTAAGCAAATTGCTGCAAATTTCTGACATTAAAACAGGTACAAAAATTTAGAAATTCGTTTTGAAATGTTAGTCTTGTAATGATGTGTTGTTTAAAATGAAAAACTTTCCGTTAAAGAAGTCTCAAATGGGAAAGAGCAGAAGAATAAAATATGTTAAAAGTAATTATATTTGAAAAGACGTGAATCACGTCAGCAGTCGGGAACGTGTTATGTACATATCTGCCAGTTCGCTCCTCTTCAATAGTGATTAGCGTATTATAAATGCAATAATTGTGATCTCTAAAAAAATTAATTATGAAAAATGTTCTACAGTTAGGTTACGTTAATATTAAAATATTAAAATATTTCCAGAACGCTACTGCACCTGAAGAAGAAATGACCGATTTGCTGAGACAATTACAAGAAGCTCGGAGTCAAAGAGCGAGGGAACAAAAGAAAGCAGCGGACATTGGTCAACAATTAGCATCTTTGATTCAAGAGAATAATGCACTGGAAGAACAACTAAACATTTGGCGCACTAAAGCGCAAGACGTAAAAAATCTGCAAGAGGAAATAAATGCGCTCGAAGAAGTGAGGTATGATGCGCGAAATCTTTTCCCCTTTATTTCTTTTTAACTAGTGCAACATGTTTACATTGAAAGTGTATTTAAATTAATGTTTAACATCGTACATATGGAATAAATGATTTTTCCAAAATTAATTATCCAAAAATATTTTAATTTTAGTATAGTGTATCTTGCCAAACGTTACAAATGTAGAATTAATGTTATTGAAATGATCGTTAGATCGACTGTTTTAGTCCAATGGATGTATGGCGCTTTCATTGAACAAATAATTGATAAAAATATTCATAATTTTCATTTGTTAATTAAACTTTCTTGTAGATTATTTAAAATATGTTTAATATTCGCGTTTTTTAAATGTATCAGCTTCAAATAAGTTTTTGATGTTTATGGAAAAAATAATATTGAATATGATTGCAAAAGATATAATATTATCTGTTAGTTCAATTTTATTTGAAACTTTATATACTGGATTTTATATACAAAACTATAAACGATTCTTAACAGAACGGATTAAAGTATTCGAGTCAATTAAAAAAATCTGAAAATCAGTAAAATATTCTATGTTTAAGAAATAAATTTGGGTGTCCATACTTAAACATTCTTTTCAATTCAACGTACAAACTACTCCTGAGAATATTTAACTTTTTTTAACAAGTAACTTATATAGGAAAGGAAAATAGGAAAATAGGAAAATAGGAAAATAGGAAAGGAGAAATTACCAACGTAATATCAGTTGATGAATATTTTTCTTCGTCTATTGAATTTCCCAAAAAATTCATGGAGAATTTAACTGTAAAAAATTTTTAATTTGCAGTAATTATTTGTTACAATTTTTCTTATGTCTAATATTTTTTCATGTTTTCGAAGATGTGTCATAGATTATTTGCGATGAATATTTATATTATACAATTAATTCTTAACAATAGAAAAAGTTCACTTAATCCTTTAACAAGGATTAACTTCATCTTAAGAGTTGTACTACTCCAAGAATACTCAATTATATAATTAGAATGAATTTTTCTCTCCTCAGAAAACACGCGGAAAAACAGTATTTTAAAATATATGTAATTATTATACGTATTTGTTGACTTTTATTTGCTTAGACGTATTTAAACATTGCGTATGAAAACCCGACATCTGTCAAAAACTGGAATTTCAATGTTCGACGTTGAAAAATTACTCCCAAGCAGTTTAAAGATTATTTTGAGTTGAATATTTTAACCCTTTGCATTCGAAAGTCTTTGACTAAAAATATTCAACATTTTCCAATGAGTTATAGGCTACATTCTGTGAGACGAACTGAATGATAGAACATAGATAAGTTAAGAAACAAAATTACTGTTTCTATATTTCACACATTTATAGATTATAAGAGTTTAATATTGTGTGTAAGGTTTTATAATTTTGGTATATCAAATCGAATGGTGACTGAGAGTCACCTTTAGAGTACAAAGGGTTAATAAAGTAACATGGCAGACAATTATACGAAGTAGCATTATTTTGTTCATTTTGGTAAAAGAAGTTTGAACTTCCACAGGCGAGGGCAATTATGTGGACGATGTTTGCGGGGAATGGAGATAAAAACACACGACGAAATTTCTGTAATGTTGGATCTAGAGGAATACGACGACATTAGTATGGCGGAATCGCTAATGAACGACAGTCAACGTGATACCGAGTCATTAACGCAGGTAAACTTTTTCGTATATTTTATAAAGCTGCTTCTTCCAATTATACATGCATGAAAGATGTTTTACCTTTTCCACTTTCCTAACTTTTCCTTAGTCTTATTGATTTTGTGCTACTCGAGCTATTTTTGTGACCTTATCGTGCAAAACATTCAGTGACTAGTTATCGGTTTCCAGTCTAAATAAATTCAAACACATTTTTTGCAATAGCAAGACTTTTATTAAAATCGATTGTTTAATATAAAAAATATAAGGACTTTGAATTTTCGTCGAACACTTTTTCTTCAAGGCGTGTACAATTTATCGGCCACGACGATTTTTCTGGCACTTTTGATCATTGTAGAAAAAGGTTGCAACAAAAGTTAATCAGTTTTCAATGGGTTATAACTTATGATTTCCAAAAGATAATTTTTTTAAATAAAATTTCAAAGTGACAGACTTTTTAAGTGACAGAAGATATTTTGGATCGCATACTTTTGTAACCGTTATTAGGATGAAATTTACTTCCGAAATTTTATCTTAATCGAGGAAAATATTATTTTGAAAAATTATTTGATTTCGATAAAATCATATGTTGAAAGTGGTTACCATTGCAAGTCTAAATAATGCATAAATAATAAATATCATATAAATACAGCAGAAAGAAGACATTTGTAACAAGATTTATGTCGAGCCAAACCAAAATATCGCATATTTAAAACAGAAAATCAACACCGCATGTGAAGAAGTCACTTTGAAGTTGCACTTTGCAACTGGATCAATACCTTTATGAAACAACTGGTATTGTGGTATGATAAGCCTGTCAAATAGTGCAAAGTTTTCCTTTACATTTTTTTTCTAACTTCACTAGAAACAGAGTTGTAACCTGTATCAGTTCCTAGATACACCCTGTAATTTATACATACACTATGTAGTTTACAAAATATGAAGAAAAAGCTATTTATACAGATGAAATAGTAAAAAATATAATATAATAGTTTGTTTGTAACATTTTAGATTATTTTACAAAAGTCTTTGGTACAGTTGAATTTCAATTAAAAAAAATATGTAACTACATACAAAAGTCAGTAACCAATGAAAAAGATATTGATTTTATATACAAACTTTATCCATTCTATAAATAACTATTTTTACATAACATGATTTCCTTTAACAAGAAGTAACAATAAGTACAGTATTTTTTGTAAATATTTCCAACTATAAACATTCCATAGGCCCAAATAAATTTGGTCATCGGCAATCTAAATATTGTAATAACGATAATTGTTTAATGAATAATTTACAATTTAAATAGACAAGCTAATATTTGAATTTGCATAAACCTTCAAAGTAACTCGACAGATGTATGAATATTGGAATGATCTTGTTTATCCTATTATATTAAGACGCTCAAGATCATTTTATTAGTGTGAAAATTTGGCTCCGGATTTTTATACCATTTGAGATCTTAACGAGTTAAATAAAAACTTATTTCCCTAAGTAAACATGTTTTTAAAGTGAAACTAAAATAGAATTTATATTAAACTTTCTTTAAATTATTATTTTGTTACATCTTACACATAATGTATGAACATCTGCACTCGAGTGGTAGCTTTGGTGAAAAATGTTCTTTCCAATAAATTTTATTTGAGCAAACATTTTCCATACTAATTGCATGAAACAAAAATCGAGATTTACTTAATATTTTTAAGAAAAAACTAAAAAATGACTGTTCATTTAAAATAATATATGGTAGAGTTCTAGATTTTCGCAGACAAAAAAATCATTGAAAAATGAGTACAATAGAAATATTATTAAAAATTACTTTTATTGGTATGAAAAAATATAACTGGATAATGTGAGGTTTGAAACAGGAAACCGGAAGCCAGCCACGAATGAATCGTATAGAAAGGCCTTTCCTTTTATATGCATACACGCTTCGAATAATTCGTGAATGATACTTGCAAGGGCTTAAGGTGCAATGGCTTATTCTCACTTGACGAGAATAATCTTGAAAGTAATTTGATTTTATTTCCTTTAGGAGAGACTCGCAACAAAGATTAAGAAATCCAAGGCAAAAAAAGAGAGTAGAGAATTTCGTTCCCCGTTGTGGACAACTTTCGCGTATATATGGAAAGCACCGTCGTTGATTTTTGTTTTTTTCCATACGATATGCTACATAAAGAACGAATATATCATACCGTTATTGATGAAACCTTTTCGGATACCGATCTTCATTCTCAAAAAAGTTCTGACGATAAGAGATCGCAAAAAGCTGCTATAAAATGTTCAGCGAATAGTTTAAAACGTTCATTTTCATAATTAAAATGTAGAGTAAGAAAGAAAATTGAATGAGGGAAAACATTTAACGCATAATCAGTTATTAATTTTTTGTACAGTAGACAGTGAGATGCTCACCTAATAGTACCGTTAATTAGTAGCAACCGAAAGCAACAATACTTTGTTAATTGATATCACTATTTATTTAAGACCATTGGTGTAGTAAAAATATCTTCGATTAAGCTTTAAGTAGTTTCATTTTTGTTGTATACCATCGATAATAGTAAAATAACCATCATTTCATAGTATTATATATTAGTTTTCACATCGAAGACAGTTCCCATTTGAATTTTCCAACTTGTCTCTAATATTTTGTTGATTTATTACTTGATTTATTAGTAACAAATGGGTTTAGGAACATCAGAATAGTAGATATACTAAAACTGTTTAAATAAAGTGAAGTAAGATACGGTGTAGGTAAAACAGGAAGAAACTCGTAGCTGAGCACTTACGTTACTAAGAAATGAAAACACCTTCAAATTTTCTCGGATGAAATTTTTTTAATTGAAACATGCTTTTCAAAAACAAAAGAAATACGTTTACTTAAAATTGACGTTAGTAGAATTTCTACGAATTTTTATTACATTTTATTACATAATGTTAATCGTGAAAAACAAAAATAATGATTAAACCTGATTCACACTGGCGGTCAACGGTACGGTCAGATCAAGTTAAATCATAACTCATGTAATAATAAGATATTACATTTAATGTAATTCAATGAAAGCATTCACTTATTGGGGGTACGGTCAGAACGAATCAAAATTTATTTACTACAGCAAACTTCGCCGGATTTGATCCAACCAGCAACTATGAACGGATAACGATCAAAAACAATCATGGACAACGGGAAATTAACCCCTTGCCTTATAATAATGTGTCAGGCTCATGGTGAAGATTTGAAACGAAATTTAACAAATATAAATATTACTCAATTCTTGCGAATTCAACTTAAATATTATTGTTTTGTTATCGGTTAGTACACGTTAGAGCAAACATGTACATAGAATATCTCTCTTTCTTTTAAGAAATTATTAATGTCAAAGTAGCTATATCGATCATAGTGAAGAAATAAATTAAGGAAAGGCAAGGGGTTAATCAAATTTGTCAAAAAAAAACAGTGTATTTTAGTTACAAAAAAAAATATTGCGACTCATCACATAAAATAAAAATATGAATGGAAATTAGAACTAAATTAGGGCACAAAGAAATAACATTCGACTGCTTTCAGGAGATTATCCAACATCCGATTTATTCAAAACTGTCGTCTTTTTTACCGTAATATAATCTCCTACTCATCTGAAATTAACACGATTTTCATTAAGTTATATTTATAAAATACTGTTCTTTTCTCGATCGAACAAACAGAAATTAAATATATGTATATTGACGAGATTCAATGTTCCTGATCGTTGAACGTGAATACTTCGGTAAAATCGTTGATCGTGATCTGACCGTACTGTTGACCGTTAGTGTAAATCGAGCCTTTTAATGTCCAAAGACCTAATAAGACTGCGTTAAATTAATGATTTAGAAAGTAGTTACAATATCTTGTAATGTAATAATCCGTAATAATTGTATAAAATATAGGTAGATTGAATTTGCTGATGCTGCTGCTATATCTTAGAGTTAAGTTTGTCTTATCGTGATTAATCTATAACGTTGTTCAATCGACTTATAGAATGGCCGAATATTGTTAGCGTATCTAGTCGAAATATTTGTTAAAACACTGTTATACGATGTAAGTGCCAGATTTATATGATCTTAAATAAAGCATATTTTTTCAATAAACAATGCTGCTTTCACTTATTTAATATCCTATAAATCTGGCGTTCTCCTTGCCTGTAATCCAAATATCCTTGCTTTTAATAACTATTCAAATGTTTCATAATTCTATTCATTAATTCTTCAATTTTACTGTTCGAAAAATGAATTGCCACTACTGCACCATCAATCAGATTCAGCTTCGAAATTTCAAATTTGCATGCATCAATACTAACCTTTTGGAACTATTACAAATTATTGAACAATCAATTACTGAATTAAAATAAACTATAACTTATTGTTTCATAATATTAGCGACGAAATTTCTGTCTGCATAAAAACTATTTTTAATATATAAAAAACGTCATGCGACGACTGTAACCGAGATTATGGCAAAAGACAAATTGAAAAGTAACGTATAAACGAACTGAATATTATCTATTAAAATTTCACTTAACAATCAGATGAAAACGTAATACATTTAAAGTGGTTAAAATTATTCGAATAATGTACGCCAACTGCTTGAATACTAATTACAAATAATGATCTCTCTGATAATTTATTAAATTAATAATTATCAGCATTGATCACAAACGAGGATTTATACCAATAAAAAGCAATTTATAAAGTTTTCAAAAATTATCTTGACCAAATATTTATAGTTATCAAAATAAATAACTCTACAAACAATTTAATGATCACATTATATGCAACGGTTATAATTCAATAAAACCAGTCGTGTTCAATTATATTTAAACGACATATAAATATTAAATTGTTACGAGTAGTGTTAAAAATACTCTTTCATACGAATATTTCATAAATCAAGTATCATTTACGAAACTATCGTTCAATATTTCCCCTTGTTTATCACATGAATTTTACACAATGCCACAACTGCCGTGATCGCCCACAAAAAAAATATATTTTTACCTTTTTTGCAGGACTTGAACCAAGACTGCAGCGGTTCAAACGATTCAAAGAATCCTTATAAAATCCTCGAGGAGAAGTATCAAGCCCTATTAAAAGTCCAAAGACGTTCTACGCCGCGGCGGAAGGACAGCGTGCCGCACATGTCCTTACAGGAAGAGCTCGAGATGTCGGGCGAGTTCAGCAATTTCCAGAATCCGACGACAGAAGTAGAACTGCAGCAAGAGTCAACGAAATCCGTCGGTGGAAATGCTACACGTGCCAAAACGGAGATTTGCGGGAAAAAACTGTTCTCCGCCACTCCAACGGATTTCTCGGAGGCGGAAACTTCGTCCTCCGGTTTCCTGGACGAAACTAGTAACAAAATGACGCAAACCGAAGGTAGACCCGGTTCATTTCTTTGCTCCATCGCTGATGGCGAAGACTGCAAATTTAGCATTTACGATGACAATAGTCCGTTCGAAAGTAGATTCCGGAAGACACCGGAATGCAGACAAATATTTAGGGAAATATACACTGTCGTCAAACGAACGGCGGAAGCGAAGGACGAAGCCGAGAAGCTCCTACCACCTGTGGACGAATCTGCGATCACGGCTGTCCCGCAGCCACCGTCTTCGATATCAGCGCACGAGGACCTACCTAGCGAGACCACAGACGACAATCAGAGCGTTGTTTCTTCCGCGGTAGCTTCTGTTGTGTCCGAGCCGCCGTACAGAATAAAGACACCGATCTCGATGAACGGGACGCACGAACGACAGAGCAACGAGTCCAATCGCCACGAGCACCACAAACACGGAAAAGGCGAGGGCAAGAAATACGGTTACCATTTGGATTACTTGAGCACCAGCGTTCGCGTCGTGAAGAAAACGTCCAGGAAACACTCCAACACGAGAAGATTGTCGCATAATGACACGCCGTCGACCCCTGACGTAATTCCGACAACGAACCCCAAGATCGTTAACGCGAAGTCGAACAGTAGCGGAAAGAAGAAATTCAGACCGTTTAACGCTCTCGAGCAGATTGGTAACGCGTGCAATGAGTTCAGTTACGCGAGCAGGACGAAAGAGTCACCACACACTGGAAGGCGAACAAATATATATACAAGGAACAATAATGATCAGCACAATCACACTTTCGAATATAGGGATTACAAGCCGAGCACAGCATCGGAAGATGTCGCCCGGTTGAAACGCTTAGAAATGTCTTACGCCGAAGTCCTCAGATTGCCAAACAAATCCAAAGTAAGCAATCGTAGAAATTAAAGAATGAGTCTTCACTGATACCAATTAAGAAAGCTAAATTGCATACGAACGCTTTGCGGGAAAATATCCCAGCCGCGATTGTTTTGAAAAAATAGAGGGAAAAGTTCTTTTGTCTTTCTTGTTGTGAGATAGAACAACTTCGTTTCGCTGTTACTCTTAAATAATCGTTGTTGCGACATTTTCACAGATTATAGTTCAGTATTGCTTCACCAACGTAAAGAAACGACATTTTGTGGGGAGGTATGGGAAGAGTAAATCATACTACACGTGAAATTTTAGCTACGGGCAAATTATTAATTTCCGAGTTATCAATAAGGAACTTTTGATAATGCTGTAGAATACTGACCGTAAAACCGACCTTAAAATTTGTAAATGCTATAAAAATTGATGTTATAAACAACGTTTTTTGTAACAAAAAGGCCACTCTTTTAATTTCCGAGATAATTGCGAAGAACCGCTACCACTATATTAGATTCAATACACACGAGCGTTTCTGTGAAACGGTACAAGTATGACTATATGTTCGCCAGTTTTAGCTTTGATTTTCTCAGGTTTCATGCAGATGCTGTTATCTGTTACAAAAGTTCCAGTCAATCATTGTAGTTTCGTACGCTGTTATATAGCGTACAATAGAACGTATAGAAATCACTTTCAGATCATAGAGATTGATATTGATAGAATTAATTTTTTTACGGTGGGAGTGTAAGAAGAGAGGCACAGTTCCTCCTCCACCCATGTTAATACTTTATAATTGCCAAAAGTCCTTCCAGTTTGAATTAGAAATTTTTTTTGTATCTTAGAAACTAATTGTCCGCGGCCGAAATTTCATATGTAACGTCCTGTCCCCCTTCTCTACGATTCCACCAAATTTCGTTTGTCTGGATTGGTTGGGCCATACTGTACTATATCTTTTTCCTGCAAACTGCTCATGCGCATTTGGCCTTGAGAAGACAAAAAAAGAGAGAGACTTTTATACGTAAAACATAGTCAAGTGAGATTTAGTTCAAAATTTGTTAAGTTTAATGTCGCGCGGATACTTAGAACAGAAAGAATTAAATTATTTCAGGTCATAAGATTCAGTATTGGTAAATCAGTGCTAATTAAAATGCATTTTGTAAATATTTAAGAGGAACGTTCGTGCGCAACGTCTGAACTAGGTACGAAACTATTTTACATTAATTTTTTTATTATATTTTATATCTTAAATTGTATATCTTTTTTCATGTGGATGTGTGAGGGTAACAAAGGTACATACACAACGTTTAATATATACTGTCAATGATCCACGTGATTAAATGTGCAAGACAAATAGAGCTGTGTCTCGAAAATCTGTTCTCCCTTCGAAAAATTGTAGTTGTAATGATGGAATAAAATTATTTATGTGCCATTTACTTCATCGAGTTACAATTGTCAACCAACTTCAACTACTTGCTCGCACTTCCCTAGGTAACATAAAACCTATTTCTGAGAGTACTCGATGCATGTCGTTAATAGCATGTATATACTGAACTACAATATTGTGATGATATTATACCAAGTAAATAAAATCTTTAGTAGATTCTATCGTAGCAACAACTAATCCCTCTTGTATATATGAACCAAATCTTATTAAAAGCCCTATGACATTCTTTTTAGTCATTAAAATTTACATCACAAAAATGCTAAACGTGCAATAGGTATCTTGCACTTTCTATAATTTAATTTTCCTGCAGACATTTATTTATTTTCTTTCACTGACTTTCCATTCAAAACAATGTATTAAAAATTCCTAAATGCTTGTTGTTTTATTGAAGTATATTAAAGGTACAAGAAGCATCTTGTGATTGTTGTTTACAATTTAAATTCATTCGCTATCGTATTCATTCTCCTTCAACTGCCGAAGCATACTATATTTTATACAAATTAAAGATAAAGTAAGTGATGTTTTGTTATTTTAAAATTCCACTTAGAACATTTCCATTTTCTACAAGTAAGATTTTTCTTATACAATTGATTCCAGCTCCCTATTTCCCGCATTTATTCCCCTTTAGAAATATTTGGGATAAAATTCATTGCCATTATATGTGACATTTGCTGACAAACATGTATTTGATTAAGAATCATCGAACAATGCACGATGCACTGCTCCTAAACTTGGTTGTACGTAACTTGAACTAACACTCCTTCTGGATCTGTAACGTACAAAGCAATAGAAATGTTTACATAAAAATATTTCACAACTATACAACTATATACTCACTCTGTAATAGATCTAACAGCAGGTCCTGTTGGATTATTTTTTGGTCGTGGATTCACTAAAAGACACTTCATGGGATGTCCATCCAACTGTCTATTGTGATAAGTTTCAACAGCTTTAGTGGCATCCTTTAATGTTTTATAAATTACCTCTGCAGTGCCTGGTCGTACTAATCTCGATACTAATAATTCTCCTACATCCTCGAATAATTCCTAAAATAAAAAATATTAATTTATTTCTTATTTACTGGAAGTAATTTTAACAATTCTCATAAATTGTTATCCTAAAAATTATACCTTAATATCTTCTTGTGTAACATTTGCTTGTAAATTTGACACTACAATTCTATAACCAGTAGATTGTGATGAACTAGTAGTAGTTTTGGGTCGAGATAAAACACCCATAGTGCGCGATTTACTTGGAACTGAATCTAATCTTGATTTTACTCCCATATCTCTGTGACTTCTTGAATCGTAATACTTCGGCTCCATTGGCTCTTCCGCTAATATAGTACTACAGAGTACCATTAGTATTAGATATTGTACAAAAACCATTTAACAGAGTACATATGTTAAATTTACAAGTAAAAATATATACCGTGATTTTGTCCCAAAACTCCAGTCATCTTTATATGTAGGAGAAACAGCTTTTGTCTGAAAATATTACATACAAATACAGATACTTATATTTTGAAGCTGACTACATTAAATTCTTTACAAAACATTTACCATTGAAGAACGTGCAATAACTTTATAGTCTCTGACTCTTTCACGTTCTCTATCAACTTCAGGCTTTCTAGAAGGTACGATTCTTGAAACGTTATTGCTTGCTGGCTTTACCCATGTGTACGGAGATGCAGGCTTAATACTGAACACAGGAGGCGGGGGAGGCGGTGTAGGAGCATATTCATTGTTCACAGTTCTTCTCAAAGGTGCTGCTTCCATTAAATAGTCTGAAAAATTTAAACAAATCAAATATTTTACAAATTAAATGTGTCACTAATTCAACTATCTAAAACATTTATACCATCATTATAATCCATGCTGATGTCTCCAATGTAATGTGGTTCTGCGAGTGGAGGAGGTCTGTAACCCACTGCTCTTGTTGGTGGTGGCATATAATTGTTCGGAATATTCGGTGGCATGGGATGTGGCAGCATTGGAGGCATTTTATTAGTTGATAATGATAATCTTCCATTGCGTCCTGTCTTCCGAGAAATTCCAGGCAATTGTGTTTCTACTTTTTTCAATTGCGATGCACGTATTTTATCTAACTTTAATCTAGCATCACTTTGCTTTGCGATTTCTGCTAATTTGTCTCTTGCATCTGTTAATTTTTCTCGATTCTTTTGTATAATTTTAAATCGAGCATCTGTAATTACTTGTGAGCCATGTCCCCTTATAGAACCATTAGTACGTGCACCTCTATTAATTCTCCTTCTAATACTGCATAAAAAATTACAAATTATTGAAATTATACATATGCAATTAAATCTACATAGTTTCTACTCCTTACTTTCAAAAATAACTGTTTACCTATTATACTGTTGTGTATAAGTATTAATAATAAGGATTAATGTCAAACACCGCCAATTATCGTGTACCAGTCACATTAATAAACATTAAAATAAAAGGTATTTACAAAATATATTTTCAATTACATAGCAATAACATTTAAAATAACAAAAACTCTTTGTAATAGCATTCGAAAGATCAACATAGAAAAAAAATTTTAATCTGCTCCATTACAACAACACCTTTCATTAGATAAAAGCAATCAATTTAAAAGAATTTTCATATTTCAAATACACCATTAGAGAGGAAAGTCAAAGTCACTATAATTATAAAGTAGTTTTAAAAGAAACACCATAGCTGAAATAACGATTTTATGAAAACATTTCGGAACGAATAGCAAGCAAATATCTTTAATAAACTGTAGGTTCCATTCTTTAAGGTTATAGAGAAATCGATAACACAGAAGTCACTGCAGAGTAAAATTACTACCAATTTTTTAAAATTGCCTCACCCTCCACCTTTGGTTCTCATTCCTGACGACTTCGATTTTTTAATTATATCATCTAAACTTAGGCCCACATCAGCCATACCGTGATAATTCGACTATCCGAACAGACGCGAATCATAAATCGAAAATTACAAGCTACTCCATACTTGAAAGAGCGGATTCTCACGTAACGACACGTGGTGCATCGATAGTATACATTGTAAACTTGCCTTATGGTATTATATCATAATTTTATATGAAATTATTTTGATATATACAAAAATAATAACAATATACTATTGTAAAAAACATATATATTTAACATTTACTAATATGATTCATCAGTACACTAATAAATGATTTCAATTTTTGTTAAACTATAAGCTGTACGAGATTAATAAACTGCTTTTTCTTTAATCATTTTATATATTCGTTTTACTCTAAATTAATTATTTATTTCACTCTAGATATATTCTTATATCTACTCCTATATGAGTTATATTTAGAACTAAGATATTCTGACCTAACCTTTTATAGGTAGGTCTCAATTGATATTTTTTAATTTTCTATATATATGTTATTGAAATATAAAAGTAAATATATAGCCATAAGTATACAATTATATAAATTAATATAACTACAATAAAAATAGTAATTTGTGCAAATATATTTATGTTTATTTAATTTGTATTTCAAAATAATGGCGGGCTATTTTGTACGTAACCAACGTACGTCGTATTTGAGATTTTACTTTCAAGTGTTTCTTTTTATTTGTTTAATTTTTTTTCACTTTTCAAGAATAAAAATGTGTTTACTTTAGAAAATTTCTTCTTAAACATTAAATATTAAATCACACAGTGAATCTAATCTAACTTTTATTCTTTATTTCTTCCTTTAGTTCTATCTTCACTGTCATAAAAAAACATAACTTTCTGATATACATATCATATCTCTGTATATAAGTATAAATTTAAAAATTACAATTCACTATACGTATAGTTGCATTATAATATGCAAAAAATACTAAAAAGTTATAATCATTAAAA